TTTTATCATCAAATTGTTTAGTAAGCTTTCCTTTATAAGTATTTCAATAAAAAAAATTACCATGTAGTCCTTCAGCAGGCTATAGAAGTGAAACTTCTCCGAAGTATTCACAATCATATATGGTATACCAGAAAAGGGGTTAGGACATTTGTTAAAATTTTTTAAATAAGCATACACCATCTATTAAAAATTTAGTTTAAATTTTAGTATAAACAAACGTATGAAATAAACGATTTTGATTGTAATCTGTCTTAATATTTAACAAACACTACATCTATGCAATGCCAGATTTTGTGGTAAATAAATTAAGATAGTAATTAATTTTTAAGTTATTTTCACGGTCTAGAAATCTATTAGCGGTTGTACTTCCTCTAATGAAAAATTAACATTGAGATTTCCACTTAAGATGATAGGCAATTGAGATATCTCTTTATTAATGGATCATTGTAATAAATTATGTATACAATCATTTTTGTATTTTCATAAAGACATTTTTCTTTATAGTCCAAATTTTTAGATGTTCAAAAATATTTATTTAGAAAGCAACGTTTGGACACTGGGTGCTAATGATACTTTAGTTAATACGTATAGGTAGCTGCATTTTGAAGGTAGAAGTTTTTATTTGAAGACTCCCCAAAAGAGATTCGTTAGCGTTCCATCACATCACAAAGCAAGTCGCATGAAATAATTTTGATCTACTGTGAGTAAAGAAGTTTCATTTCAAAAAATTTTAGAAGACTGTAAGGCTCCATAGTGACATATAGTAGACAACGAGTTGATATGTAAAGAAACGGAGCTAAAGAAAAAATTTAGGAAAAAATATGTACCTACTGAACAATTTTCTGAAAATGTATACTGGTGTGATAATTTGTGAAAGTGAAATTGTTATAAAATGACAACAATTACCAATAATTCTTGTAAAAGCATAAAAAACTATTTATTAAATTATAACATAGTGGAAATGCTTATAATTTTTTATAATACAGTAATTAAACCCGGCGCATTCGCCATTTTATAATAATGGTAAAAGTTTTTTATTTAATACCGAAAGCAGTCTCTGCTTTCTTATATTAACAATGATTATCGCTAAATAATAATTAAAACTTTTTATTATTTAATAACATAATAAACAATAATAATAATAATATATGGCTTTTAAAATTACGCACAATGTATTGCAATGGTTACATAGGAAGAACTTTGTTAAAAACTCACAGCAATCTCCAAAAAAAAATTATCTTTTTAGGTGGTAATATTTATTATAGTTACAAAGGGGTATTTTTTAGGTTTTGGTTTATCAAAAAAATTAATGAAATAATCTGCTTGTCTCCAAACCCCTAAAACTTATTTTTTTGTGCTAACTTATACAGTTTTACAGTAATTTAAATTGTTGATTTGCAAAACATCGTTGCCAAATTTATATTCACAACACCTTGATGGAAAAATTTAAATTTTCCCTTGCACTAGTGCAAAGATATAAATTTTTCATTATTTATTATTTATCATCAACTACCTTAATGTGGCATGATATTTTTAAAAAATGTTACGTTAGGTACGTATGTTATAAACGTCTCACGAAATCACCTGTTGCATTGTCATTAGGTAGGTAGTAGGAGTATTAAGTAAATACGCAACAATGTTAGTAAATTTAATCTCTAAATTAGTAATTTTTTAGTGTAATTACTTGTTTTTGCGTAACGTTATCAAGCAGTCACGAAAATATTTGTCGAGATCGTGATCTATTAAAATAGATTTTGTAGATTGTTTTGAACAATTTTAAGCAGTTGAAAATTACTTGGGCAATCGGCTTTCCTATGGAACACTTAACACAGACTTTGTGCGTGCCAGTTGGTTTGCAAAAAAACCTTTTTTCAAATTAAAATTAACAAATTTGCAAACGATTAAAATTGACATACTTTCTAAAGGATTTATTATTTCGGTGTTGCATTTTTTACCTAATTACAAAAATGCAACAGTTTTAAAAATTAATTAAAGAAGAAACATTAATTTACAAAAACAAACACTTTCTATAAATGTTGAAAAAAAATTTAAACAATAGTGGATCCATTAATCAACTCACGTGTTTATACCTACGATTATTAAATTAATCAATGACGAATGGGTTTTAAAAAACATTTTGAAAACCAATTTATTACTTGAAAAATGTGGGCTCGTGCAGTGAAAGGTAAAATTTTAACATCTATTTTAAAACAAATTATGCAAATACGTAATTTATAATTAATTTTCATTTTTATTGAATTTTTAATGAAGATTCATCTGGTTCGAGTCATTCCAAATAAAAACACCATTGAGGATGATCTTTTAGGTATCAAATATGAAAATCCGTTGCCGTTTTAATTTTTAAATAATATAAATAACGTTTATTTAGCAGAAGCTATAAAATTACAACACAAATAAATACATATAAAAAACAAAATAAACATTAGGTAAATAACATTTTTTTTCTATTATATTTGTACATTTAATCTCTATTAAATACTTAATTCGTTAATGTGTTTTAACAAAGTTTTTTTAAACATTTTGAGGCCGTCACATTCCTTTACATTTTCAGGTAGTTTGTTAAATTGGACTAAGCCTTTTGAAAAAACAGATTGACTCATTTGAGCGGTACGACAAAACTTAATATTAAAATTATTACAATTTCTAGTATTGTATGGGTTAGACACATACTCTAATTTGTTATACAGGTACTCGGGTAATATTTTATTTTTAACTTTATATATAAATAACATTGAATTAAAAAATATCCTTTTTTGTATTGACATTAGATCTTTTAATTTTTGGATTCTTTACTTTTAATTGGCACCCTTTAGAAATCGGAAATTCTTACTCTCTTATAGTGGCCCAGAAGTTTTTTTCTGTGACAAATATTGAAATGATTTTAATTTTTTTTTACTGCTTAGTAAGTGTGTTTTCGATATAAATTATTATAATCCAATAGGTTAATCTCATAAAAGAATGGTAAACCACTAAAGATTCATGATAATTTGCCAATTTTTGTGATTTTTGTCTGGCTCGTGTGCCTATTCTACTAAATCTAGAAAGTTATTTTTTTTCAGGTATCAAGTACTTATACAATAGAAAACGTAACTATTATTTTAAGTTTCTAGACTATCATTTTCTTTATTACAAAAATTATTGAAACTTGATAATTTTCAAAATTAGCCAATTTTGCCCTCAGAAATCATTATGTTGAGGAAAAAATAAAAATCTGAAACTTTCAGGAAATGTAGTCCCCACCTTCATCTTTTCAGTCTAGTTAGTCTTGTTTTGTTATTTCTATCCATGTAAAAGATATAATAATTTTTTTAATGCAGTTAAGAAGCTATATTGTTAGTTTTATTTATAATTTAAAATTTAGATGGCTTGGACTTAGTCAATTCATGTTTGGTAGAGAAATGTCAGAACTGAAAGACAGAAAATGACACGATTTCAGGTTTCTAAAGGGTGCCGATTAAAAATAAAGCAACTAAAAATTAAAAAGGCAACGGTTTTTCATATATGAAACCTAAAAGATCATTCTCAAATTTTTTCATTAAAATAAAAAATTATGCAGCGCAATTTTAAATTCATTTTTGGTGTTTTCATTTGGATTGACCCATTCCTGTAATGTTAATAGAATATTCTACCTAAATTTTCCTACATTACCTTTTATACCGTATTGAATACGGCGTATTCTAATTGTAAAATAAAATAAACTATCATACAGTTTTACGAATAGAAAAAATACTAAAATCGCTATAATAACTTTTCCTATTTTATAAAACAAATAATTTTTAATACAATTGTTAACAAATATAACATCTTGTAAACAATTTGCTAAAACTGTGTCAAACACACAAAATAATATCACAAATCTTTGCGATTAGACTAAAACAAATTGTTTGTAATTAGACTTAGTGTGAACTTGCTTTTGTTACACTTTGTAGGTTATGCAACATAAACATAACAAAAGAACAATAGTGGATGCAGAAATAAATTTTATCCAAAATTAATTGACATATGAGTTCCTTGTGCAATACCAAATAATTTTTACGGTTTAATTCTTTGTTCCACTAAATTAAGTTTTTTTTACTTATTGTTTGTTTTAAACCGAAATGATAACTTAATTTTAGTATTTTGTTGTTGTTAAACTGTTCATTAAGAAGATTATTAATGGGATATTTAGACCAAGATTAGGATCTCTATGGTAATTGTTTTTAACACCTTATTGAATTTTTAAAAGAATCAAAATATTTTTTCTACTCCCACCTTTAAAATGCCGTTTATCGTACATGTTTCCATGACACTAAGTGACCTTTTAAATACACATTGACAAGTTGTGGCTTTATGGCGCTTTAGTCACGGGCTGAAGTTAGCAACAGGTTTTTAGTCACGGGCTGAAGTTAGTTTTAAGTTAGTTGACAGTTGTCAAATGTCATACAATCGTTAAAATAAAATGCCTTTCTTGTAAAATAATACTAAATGTGAAAATTATTTTATTATCTCAATACAAAAATACAAAAATATTATATAGTTTCTCAACGCCAATATTTGAAAAGTTTATATGAACATTGTACTGACCTTTTAATTTCACCGGCAGTAAACTATAACTTAAATTCGGGCACGGACTCTACTGTAAAGTCCTCATAAAACATTTTCTTTACTTTCACTGTGAAAAACTGTAAATTTTCAAGAAATACATTTCGATTTTATAATTGTGTTTATAAAATAAAAATGTGACATTTTACGGTGACAAACAGTTTCCCCTATTGTTTCATAAATGGCGCTCTATACAATTTTTGATTTAAATCATTAATAATAATAATAATAAGTATTTGTCGTAGAAAAAGTATATTATGCACCTCGTTTATAAACTTTTTTATATCATTAAATTAAATTCGTGTATAAAATGGCGTTTATCAAACTTGATACATAATATACCATTATTAGATACAAAATACAATTTTCCATTTTTTACAAAATCTTTTTTTTTTCAGTTACTGACCAAGCCACGTCTGCCTCTTCCTCGTGGTGGCAACAAGACACGGGCGGTATAGACACGTCAGATTTTTTCTCAACGCAGCACCAGGTCTTACAGACCCACCCGCCTTTAGGCGTTGGTGGTGGACCCAGTAAAATAAGAGGGCCCACAAAACCTAGCTTTGCCAGTGACTACCATGCCAAACATTTGGATTATAGGACGTCTGCGACTGAAGAGTTGAGAAAAAATCCGAACTTGTCGAGTCCAGAGGAGTGCGCTAGGGCTTGCAGAGAGGGGGAACCACCCAGGATTTGTTATTATCATTTTACTTTGGAGTTCTATACTGTGCTTGGAGCGTAAGTATTTTTTTCTCTAAATATTTGAAACATTTGCATTGGGGAATTTCCATTGTAACGGGTGCGACACTAAAACTGCGTTTTTTCATGATAATAAAGTATTTGTTCATATATATCAAGATACGTTAATATAAAAAAAAATAGTATGAAAAATTAGGTATTTCACTCAAACAAAATGTCAATATAAAACATGAATACAAAGTTTGTTGCTAAGAAGTCTAAAGACAAGAAAATATTAGTTCTAATATACATACCATTATTTTTTTAAAATCATTTTCCTTTCCTTATGGTGAATCAAGTATTAATTAATGTATGGTTATGTTTTTTATTTAAAAAACTACAAGTTCAATTAAATTAGAGAAAAAATTGCATAATTACAATTCTGTTAAAAATTAATTTTTTTTAAAAAATCAGCGGTTCTTAAACAATTTGAAGAAAACTCAAAACAAGTCAAAACCAAAAATCGATTTAACCCTTTTTTTTTCCTGGAAATTTTGAAAAAAGTATACACACTTATTTACATTTTCATCCAATTTGTAATTTTTTTACTATAAGATTTTGAGTTACCACCATCATCCTTTATTTTTCCTATAGCCTCCATGTTGTAATTTTGCATTAGAGAAAAAAATCAAGGAATCCAACGATGAGTTGTTGGATTTCTTGATTTTTTTTACTACATAAGTTATAGCGGCCATTATAAATACAAAATATAGTAATGGTATAACCATATTTTGAGTTATTATCCTGGTAACCAAAATATAGTAGCGAAGAAATTGAATAAAAATTTAAATGAATGTACGAGGTGTACAGAAAATATCGGGTATTTTAGTTTTTTGAAACAAATATTTATTTATTCGTCTACATTAATGTTGTCGCCTTCAAAATAGTTCCCATTGGATATATGCACATGTGCCAGCTCCAATACTCGAAACACTTCTAAAACTCGATCTTTGGGAATAAGAAAGTCAGACAGAGGCATGTCTGGCGAATATGGAGGCTGGGGCATCATTACAGTATTGTTTTTGGCCAAAAATTTTGTTCAAAATTTAACAATTTTAGATCAAATTTTGCTGCCACGCGTTTCATACCCAAAACATTCGAAAAATTTGCATGGGATTAACCAATCGATATACCAACATCATCAGCGACTTCTTTGATGGTTTACACCCATTTCTTTCACTTTTTCATGTTTTTATCGGTTTTTAATGTGCTTGTGCGTTCTGGGCGTTGGTCATCTTTAACGTCTTCACGGCCATCTTGGAAACTCTTATACCACTTGTAAACTCTTGTTTTACTTATAGCAGACTCACTATAGGCCTTTGTTAACATTTCACAGAATTTATTTCATTTTTTAAGCAAAATTGGGTACAAGTTCTTTGATCCATTTCTTTTAACGAACGAAAAATTACCGAGCTCATAAAACACGTCTAACCTTAGCGGCTGTCACAGACAAAGTAAACAATGAAAACAGCTAAAGTTTTTATCATACTTGGGGGGCATGTACACCAAAATAATAAAAATTTATGACAACCGGACCCTCCGAACCCGCGAAATTTAACAATTCCCGTTATTTTCTGAACACACCTCGTATTTTTATATGTAAAACTTTTTTTTCAAAATTCTCAGGAATAAAAATGTAAAAAAAATTTTTTAATTCCTTCCAAATAGGTATTTTCGAAACCGCTGGTTTTTATCCAATTTTTAATATTTATTTTAATAGGGTTGTAATTACTTAACTTTTTTTTGATATAAACGATCTTGTAGCTCTTCAAAAAATATACATAAAGTACCTTTGTATAACACGGCTACAAAAATATGACTTTTTAACCGATTGTTGCATAAAATTAAACCAGGTTTTCTAATAGCTCCTATTAAATAAATAGATTGTAAGTTATTTATTAGGTACCTATCTAGTGTTTTTAAAATATTATAATTACAACATAGACCAAATTCTTGTGTATTGCCTGTGGCCCCAATTTTCCTTGTGCATGCCGCATATTTAGGTATTAAACATTCGAAAATTGTCCAGATGCCATTCTTTTAAAGTTAAATTTTAATTTAATTAAATAGTTTTTAATACATTCGCTTTTACTTTTTTCTTTTGAATGTATTGTAATATGTATATGTACTTAAGTAAAAGTTTAAATTTGATTGGTCGTGCATAAATTATGAAAATGCTTTGAACATAGGCTTAAAAATGATTCCTATTACAAATCATGCTTCCTATAGTGTTTTATGGGCCGTAAAATTATCATAAATTTTTACTATGGTCATTTATATTTTACATGCTTATGAGTGTGAATATAAATTCCAACACCTTGTTTTTATTGTAATAAACGTGTACAGTTCAGATAAGCTTTCTTTTCTTTTTATTTTTAAATTTAAATAGAAAAAGATTTTTAATTAAATCTAATATAAAATAATACAAATTTAGTACGCCACATGTTGGAAATTTTTATTATGCCACATTCTCTTTAAATACACAGCCCCACAAAAAAAAATAAAAGTAAGATATTCTAGTATTTTTTTGTTTGTTTTTTTGCTTTGTAAAATATGTAAGAAAAAATATAGAACTTTCTATGTATTTTTGCGGCTAAATCCGAATTTTTGGTCTAGACATAATAAAATATTTTAAGCAATGCTGTCATTAAACTGTCAAATGTCAATTTGTAATTAATGGATGCCCCCTGTAAATTACAGCGGCATTGAACTTCGAAGTAGGGACAATAGGGCCTAAACTTTTTAAAAATTGGGCCCTAATAGACAGCTAGTTCAAAAAATTTCTAACTATGTTTAGTCCTTACAATGAAATAAAAAATAATAATTTTCATTTAAAATAATAAACTTATTTTTATTATTATTATTATTGATATTATTATTAATATTATTATTATTTATATTAAATAATAATAATACGTTATATGTATGTACTTAGTAATTATATGTATGTACTTAGTAATTGATTCAAATTTTCGCTTTTTAGATTCATTTTTGGTTACAGCATTTATCACATTTCATGCATAGTATTAAACTCGTTAGCAAATAGATTTTTGTACATTTTTCAATTTTGCTGCTTCTATAATGTATTTGTCTTCTTCCAGTTTTTTCCCCATTGCTTTAATGACTTCTCGCTCTTTTATTGCTCCTTCAACCCTTATCTTTTTAAGTTCTGTTCTGTTCTGTGCTGATCTTTGTCTTTTAAAAGTTTTAGGCTTTTTAATTTCCCCTGATCTTCTAAATATAGTTTGTAGGAGTAATGCGCATTCTGAGCCTATTTGATTAGCTTGTTTGTTTCTGTAAATTCATGAGCAATGCTATTATATATAAGTATGATCCATCAATTATAATCGATGTGCACTATAGTGTAACAATTATTGAAAGCTTTGCATTTTAACATCCTGAACTTAGCTTTAGTTAAAACGAGACCATATCTTGAAAATCCACGTTCTAAATGGGAATTTTCGCGACATAAAGGCAAAATGACTTTTACAATAATGGCGACTTATTATTTTATTTCTTACTTTGTCATTTTAGATCAAAATCGACACAATTGTGCTTAAGCTTCTGTACATATGTCTAAGTTTCTTAACATCTTTCCTTTAGCTTATTACCTAAGTAACATTTTTAGTTTTAGTTATTATTCAAGAACGCTTTAAAACAAAATTTTGTTTTAAAGCGTTCTTAAAGACCATAATAAAACTTTGAAGACCATAATAAAACTAAAAATGTTACTTGGGTAGTTACCTAATTTAAAAAAGATAAGCTTTATTATCAAGAAATTTTTATAAGAAGCTACTTAAAATATCTTCATAATTTTGTTGTTGTCTTAAAATGTCACTTTTATTGCTGAGTAAAGATAAACACCTGTCTTCTAACACGAAGGTTCGAAGCCTGTTTTAATCAACTTTAATTTAGAACATCTTTGTTACAGGTACATTCTTACAGTAATCTCAATATTATAAAAACAACCTTAAACTTTTTTGCCAAGATGCGTTAATACATCCACCTTTCCTAAATAATTACATTTTCATTTTGGTCGTCATTTTTTTCAAACTCGTGGTAACAAAACTTGAACTAAATCAGATTATTTCCTAATTGATCGTTTAAGTTAATTTTATATGTTTCTGCTAAGTTTTGAACTTATTTTATTAGTGTATTTAACTTGTTGAGAAACCCAAAACGGTTATTAATTAGATTGTATTCCCAAACTACAAACTTCAACATTATAACTAAAACTATACCTACACACTAGATTATTTAAACAGTCCCAACTTTTACTATTTGTTTATTATTTAAATCTTAAACGCTTGTTTGAAACACCACGGAACAAATATATAAACCACTATGCAGAAATTAGAATATAATAGAGTTGACTCCCTTGCTCCTGTATGCGCTCTGTGTATTCTGTCGCCCTCGCGAAACTTCTTGCTGGTAGACAGTGGGAAATATTCTTGTCAGTCTGGTCAAACATCCAAAAACCACAAGTTAAACCAAATGCAAATGATAAATGAATCATCATTTATCATCACCAAACTCATATATTTAACATACGAGTGCTGTTTGGCAACTATTCCTTTACTGGAAAGTACAAAAGTACAAAAAATCGTTCCAAATGTGTTTTATACCCATGGCCCCGTGGTAATTTCGGAGTGACCACGTACAAACTTAAAATTACTAGAAAAATACTAGAAGAAGGTGACAGATAAAAACAACAACAAAAACGAAGAGTAGGTATGAATAATTAGTTTTAAGGTAAAGATTCGTTTTTATTACACGTACACTGAAAAAAATAAGCTGTTGAAACAACAACAAAAATATTAATTCAACTCGTTATACACTTTAAATACAAGCAATGGTTTTTGCACGTTTACTTAACCATCTAAAAATGTCAAATTGTATTGTTTAATTGAACAACAAATAACAGTCAAATGAACAAAATGAGAATATTTGTTCTAATCTGCTAATTTGGTTAATTTAACATTCTTAGGGTGTTAGGTAAA